CGAGTTCCGAAATGGCTGGTTCACCGTCTTGAAGGGCATTCTCTTCCGTGTGGCTCTTATCGGTTTCCCTCAGATGGCCATCCTTTGCCTTTGGGAGTTTACTCAAGTCGACTCGGCGGCCGAGGTTGTGCTTGCTGTTTTCTTCTTCTTCGGTCTGGCCGCCACGCTGGCCTGGGGCGCAACCAAGGTTATCCGTATCGCTCGCCGTTCTGTGGCTATGCACCGCAACCCTGCCTACATTTTATTCTCTGACCCTCAGGCTCTCAATAAGTGGGGATTCCTCTACATCCAATTCCGCGCCTCTGCATACTATTTTATTGTTCCAGTTTTGGTGTACACTCTAGTCAAGGCCATGTTCGTTGCCTTTGCTCAGAAGAGCGGAGTAGCCCAAGCCGTTGGTTTCGTCATCATCGAGGCTGCTGCTCTCATCGCAGCGTCAGTTCTTCGACCTTGGATGGACAAGCCCACTAATTCGTTCAATATCGCCATCTGCGTCGTCAATTTCCTCAACGCTATCTTCCTGCTGATCTTCTCTAATGTATTTGGAGCCCCTCAACTGGTAGTCGGAGTCGTCGGAGTCGTTCTCTTTGTCCTAAACGCAGTTTTTGCGCTCATCTTACTCCTGATGGTTATTATCTCTACTACGGTCTCCTTGATCCGCAAGAACCCCGATGCTCGCTACCAGTACATGGCCGACGACCGAGCTTCGTTTATGAAGTCTCAAACGCACCTGACTACCACCACTGAGCTGGATGCTCTTGCCGCTACTGCCCGAGGTGACAAGGCTGGAGGATACAAGGCTCACATGGATTTGGAGGATGACAACGAGTCTTTCTCGTCCGAGGACCTTCGTCGCCGGGCTGCTGGCCAGAATCCTTCTGCTGCGGCTTCTCAGCACTCTTTCCAAGGACAGCAGGGACCTCGGTCGCCTGTCAATCCGTCTATGCCGCTTTTCCCGGCAGGCCCGCGACCCGAGAGCCCCTTCCGCTCCGGGTCACCAAGCCCCTACAACCGCAGTGGATCTGCCGCGGCGCAGCGACCCAACCAGAGTTCGAGCCCGGCTCCGGGATACCGATCACAAAACACGTCTAGGTAAGTGGACTCCTGTATAACACGGAATGGTATGTCCCGTCTAACAAGTTTCTGAATAGTCCCTGGCAGCGTGGCGCAGGCTACGAGTAAAAATCAAAAGGAAACATATCTTAAAGAAGGAGAGGCAGGGAATACCCCAGCCATCTCCACAGTCATTCCATTATCAGCGTTTGAAAGTTTTTACAATCACAAGCAACCACCACTACTAATGGTTGATGAATATTTGCAACGGCCGTCACTTCCGTGTTATATTCTGACGGTAGCCATTGGATAGTTGACGAATACACTCCACACAGCGAGCGCGGTGTATGCGCATACATACCCCTGAGTCAAGAATGGAGCTCCGTACTGCATCGCATCAGCAATTATTAAGGGAGGCTACGGCACGTCGGGATTTTCTGTCCCTTTACCACGTATATTTCATTTTGACCTTTTTCTTTCTTTATTCCCCTGTTAATGTCGCTTTTGTTTTTTAATTCCTGCCTAGGGAGGCATGATGGCGTACTGATGATAATGTGGAAAAGGACTATGGTAGACTCCGTATACTATCTGTCATATGACGGTCTCGATGGTCCCTCCCGCGAGCTCTTGGTTTCATTTTATTTTCTCTTGGTCGGCTGTTTCCTGCGAGTGTACATATCTGTATTGGGAGGGAATCGTCAGTGGTACTGGCTCTGATTTTTGTGTTTGGCCAACGGGGTTTGGTTGGCTAGGATTACTTTGGGCCGAGCATAAAGATGGGGAAACATCACAACCTAGGCTGGAGAAGTAGACTCTAGCTGTATACACCTTAGTATGAAAGAAACTATTTATTCTATTCTGTTCGGCTCACATGCAAGTGAGGGTGTGCACAAGCGGATTCAGAGACGAAAAAGGGCCTCATTTACTTACACGTTACTACGCTCCTTGGCGCGCGGCGTGTTGCGCGTAGAAAAGGGTGCAATGTTGTGTTGAATATTATAGATATTAAGTGTCTGTGCTACTCTTATGCTCACTATAATAACCACCTTACTCATACAAAGAGACTTGTATCTCATCATCATCGCTTCTTGCTTCTCGTCCCGCTACATGAAGAAAATGGCTTGCCAGTTGGGCCAGTAGAAATTTCGGCAAGGAAAAAAAATTTAGACAAAGGGGAAGCAAGAAGCCATGGGGCGTACAAAACTTCATTGGCAGGCAAGGTTGGTACATGTTAGAAGAAAGGTATTATGCCCATTTTCAAGTACGTGACTTCCAGGGATGACGTATACAGAGATGTATGGGTGAAAGAAGGCAGAAAAGAGAATTTTAACAGGTTTGGATGGAAAGAAAAGGGAAACAAAATCAAGTAGAGTTAACAACATGATATGAAATGGATCGGGTTGATAGTGTAGGTGGGGTAGACATCGTTTCATTGACTTGATATTCGTATCATTCCTCCGATATCAGTGACCCAAATCGTGAGGAAATGTCCTCTGAAATGATTGGTATTCGTCATCGTGTTGTTTGAGTGTTGTTCGTTTTGACTCCTCAACGCCGTTTCGTCTCATGAGACGCTCGTTGTCGCTGTGAAAAAATATCCATCAACCATTATCGCAAGTTCGTAGTACAGCATTTATCATTCGCCTCCAGGTTCAAAAAGCAAACCCCTGCTCTATTAATTTGTCAACATCTCCCCCAGCGGCGGCTACAGCTTTAATGGCTGCCTCGCTAAGGCGTCTGCGTCGATCCTGGGCTTCCTTTTCACGGCGCGCCTTTGTCTTGGAACTTCCACTGGGGGCGACGCCTGTCATGAGCACACTGCCGTCATTTGGTGTAAAGTTGACGAAACCGATCCCGCTGGCTCCGTCGCTACCACCCAAAGACGTGGCGCTGTTTGAGCCACTGATATCTCGAGAGCGGCGTTTGCGAACACTACATGGGGTGCCAGGCATGCTGGCAGGGAGACGGCCGGAGCTGCTCCTTAACGATGACACAGATGCCCCAGAGCTGTGGCGAGATCGGGGGACAGCAGACTGATCCGCTGGTGTCGGCGAAGATGATGGCCCTCGCTGTTTTCGCACAGGGGAGCAAGACAAGTGTCTTGCTCCAGACGACTTGGCCTTGGGAGGGCGATGAGATCTCTCTGAACCAGGCATCTTCTGCCCTATAGCCTGAGGAATGGGGGGTGGCGGTGGAAGAAACGTCTGGGCGTTGACTGTCAAGTCATTGACCACAGATGACTGTGAGCCTCGAGGCTGAGGCATGTGAATCATAAGCCCACCCGTGCTGGTGTCGGCAATAGCTCCGTAGTCATATGGCATCCCTGTGTGCTGGCCATGCCCCATAACATGAACACTAGCACTCCTCTGGTGATGAGAAAAATCGTTTGGTCCTTGACTCATCATATTCGGGGTCCACCAACCGGCCTCCTGGCTGGTGATATACTCGCCTCCGGTGCCTGTCCAATGCATCTGGTGTTGCTGCTGCTGCTGCTGTTGATGATGCTGCTGCTGTTGATGATGATGCTGATGCTGATGCTGATGCTGCTGTTGCTGCTGCTGATGATGGTGAGGGTGAGGGTGAGGGTGAGGAGGAGGAGGAGGATGCTGTTGCTGTTGATGATGATGGTGGGGATGATGGTGATGTTGCCAAGCCATATCGACTTGGAAATGACTCTGATTAGGTTCGTTCTTTACACCTGGAGATTCTACGGGGGTATCCGGAGCAACCTGCCCATAATACTGAAGATTGACACCTCCAGGCGGCAGAAGAGCGGTGTCGTTGAAGGGGTCATCACACTGCCCATGGATGAAATGGGGAGTAGCTTGTTCTTGCTGTTGAAGTGGAGGAGATACGGGTAGATTGCCCTGCGTCACAGCTCGGCCTCTTCCTCGCCTTTGCTTAGGTATCTTCAGAGGCTGTAGATGTTCTTGTGGTGGTGATACCTGCCGGGGCACAGCGGCTGCTTTCCTATTTCGTCGCAAATTTGTTGCCTTTCTTATTGTGGAAGACAAGGCTTCCACAAACTTCTTGGGCTTCCGGGCATCGGTGTTGGGAGGTTTTGGAGAGGGTGTATCTGACGACGTTGTATTCTGCGGTCTCTGCGGCGAATGCAGAGAAATACTCTCAAGTCTGCTGAGGTCTGCCTCGGACATGGATCCTCTCCCGAGATAGTCAAACTGCTGCTGAGATGGATGAGCAAGTTCATCGGCACTTAACGTGAGGTCCTTGGGGTCGATTTCGTGACTGGCGGCCGAGGCAGTTGGGCCAATGCGAGAGCTGCTAGAGAGGAAGTCAAACTCATCGGCGGACGAAACGCAGGATGAGACGGCGCTTTCTAGGGTTGCGACAGTACGGTCCCCCATTAAGAGCATAGACTCTGGCACGCCGGGCATAGAAGCTGGCACCGTGTTGAAGTCATTGTCGGTCGTGGCCGTAACGGTACCATCGGCATCAAAGTCGACGAACTGGCCAAAGAAATCGTTGTGGGCGTCATCGGTACTGGCGCTGTTGATATCCTCCCAATACATGCTGGGGTCCCGATTTGTATCGACCGCCTCGGCCCGGTATGGAACAGTCCAAAAGGCCATCTTGAGGACCAAAGGGCTGGGGTTGTGGCTTTGGTGTTGGTGTTGCCAATGAGGGTATCGTTGCGGCGTGTGATGTTGTGTGTGGTGCTGAAGGGTAATGTGTCGTTTGTTGTTGTTGCTGTTGTTGTTGTTGTTGATGATGATGGCCAAAGGTTCCGCATATACACATATACATATATACATATATATATGACATACGACAACCTTTGCGACTCAGAGCAAACAGAGCAATGCCATGAGGCACAAAGAGTCGTCTTGTTTTTTTAGACTGATCAAGCCTGCAGAATGGAAAGGGCTTGATAGATTAGGAAATTAGAGGAGGAGGAGGAGGAGGAGGGAGTTGGGAACAAGTGGAATATGGGAGTTCCCGTCGTGGCCCGAAGCTATCAATCTAAGCTGGGATGGCCCGAGGGCAAGCAAAACCTGTTGGCCATATCGCATCCCGTAGCAACAATTGGCTCAGCACAACACCCGGCAACGGGCAGCGATCAGCTAGCAACCGATCTCAGGAGCGAAGTTGTTATTTGGGGCATTCGCAGGCAGAGGCAGGCCTTGGAATGTGGGAACATAGCGCTGCGCATTCCAGTCGTTGTTCGACTCTCGCACGCAGAGGCCACGCCCAAAGCACCAACTCTTCTCGACTGCAAGTGCAAGTGCAACGAGCCAGTCCGGCGGCCCCACAACGGCAGCCATTACCGCTCAAACATGGAGGTGCCGAGCAGTGAGCATGAGCATGAGCATGAGCACGACCTCGAGTCGACCTCGACCTCGACCTCGACCTCGTCGCAAGACCATGTTATGCCGCGAGGGTATTCTTAGAGAGCAACTCTGCCGCCATCCCCACTGCAACGGGGGCTTGCTGGGAAATTACTGGAGAGCCCACAATGCATTGATTGACGGCCAGGGCCGACTGTTGGTCCCGTTCCCTAGCCACCATGTCGTGCGATGCAAAGACCAAGACGCAGCTCGTGAGCGCCAAAAGCCCGCCCTCGTTATCCGGTCGACGTTTCCCCGGCTTCCTGCGAGCAAGAGAAACGAGAATGAAACCGCGCCCTCCATGCCCTGGCCATCGCGGGCTCTGCAAGGCCGCCTGCATGACTCAGATGGGCCCTTCATCTTCGGCTCATGTACGGAGTACATACATACATACGTACAGCCGTGCTGCCCATGTGAAGGAGTCAGAGTCCCAAGTCCCGAGTCCCGACGCCCAAGCCCTGAAGCCCAAAGCCCCCCGCGCCTGAGAAGCCTGAGAAGCCTGAGAAGCCCGAGGCCTGGAGCCCAAGGTCCCTTTGAAGCAGCATGCTGGGTGACAGTTGACGTCGCTTGAAAATTTTCCTCCAAATTGCGCTCCTATGGTTCGGCTTCGTTTTGTGCATTGCGCATTGCATATGTACGCCATGCCTTGCTTGTGAGATGACATGGAGGATCGAGGTTGCCACCACGAACTATGTGTGGATGTATGTATGCTCATGCTCCACCTGTCAACAGTTTGGCTGGATGCCAGAAGCCCAGGCTAAACGTTAGCCTGGAGACATTGTAATCTCAGAAGCATACATACGGGAGGAAATAGTAGCCTAGACACTAGCACCATCAAAAAGGGAAACCAACACCTTACCCCACGTGTTTCAGCGCGACGAATGTCGATTGCCAAGTCAACGGTTGGGGGTCAGGTCAGGTAGAGTGATGCATACAGCAAGTACGCACCTGGGTGAGGACAAAGGACCCTGGGGCCCTGGAGACCCTGAGCAGCATGGGGAACATGGGAAGCATGGGGAGCATGGATGGGGATGGACGGACATGAGCAGGCCGTTATGGCCGATGCCATCCATGGTGTGCGGTTTGACAAGCGGTGACAAGGTGCTGAGGTGCTTTCCAACTAACAGCGCAAAACGAGGGACGGGCAAGTGCCAAAGTAAGTCTAGCAACTCAGTCGCCCACCCCGTATAATATAATATTGTAACGTGATAGCCAGTCCATGTTGATACCCATGCAGGCGGGAATGAAGTCTGGCCAATATCACGGCAAAGGTGGCTCGACTCGTCGTACCCGTCTGACGTCTCCATACCGGTAAGAAAGATGCCTGCTCCCATGTGTCGAGAGTTCCTGGGCCCTGAGCGGAAGGGATATGCCTGCTAGGTTCGGCCGAAACGAAGATTTTTTTACTTTTTTTTTTTTGTCTCCGTCCCCATTCCCAACCACAAGCCCCAACCCCGTCATCAGCGTGGGCGAGCGGTGTAACTTGTAGACCCGTGAACATTGATCCCTGGATGACTATTGGAGACTGATGGCGGAGATTAGCGATGACGCTCGATTGCTACTCCCTAACTGCTCAGTACACGTGAGGAAAACTCCATGCGGGCTGCTTACAGAGCGCTGACGAGGTGTTTTAGAGAATTGGCAAGTCTGCTTCTTTTTTGGTCTTTGCTTGCATAAAGCTACACAGATGCATATTCAAGTGTAGGACGTTGTTGGTTCGCCTCGTGGCTGCAAATTGCTGCAAAACAGCCGTGCGGTACGGCGCAGTACACCACCAGGCCAGACAGAGCATAGCCTTGTTGAGCACAAACACTGAATGCATTTTTTCGTTTTGGGCGGCGGCGCAGCAGCATGTGTTGTTGTTGGTTCGTGGTTGTCGCCCTGAGATGAATGACACACAGTTAGCCATCACGGTTGGGCCTGGCTGCCTGGCAAGGCTCAACCTCGTGGACCGATCGGCCAAGGTAGGAGGTACATGGGTGCACATGTACTCGGCGCATCCAGAGACGACAGGACTCTGCGTGTGCAGCAACTTACGGGGTAGGTACCCCCCTCGGTCCCTCATTGACGTCAGTTTTCTGGCTCGATGGCTTCTCGATCGGTCTGTTGGCTTTCAAGATTTAGATTTGAAGTTATCGTGGCCAGGGCCAGGGTCCGGCTTCGGGTCTGGGCAAGGAGACTCGACTACGACAAGCGGTCGATGGCTCGGGATCACCTTGTTTCTATGTTGGGACCTACTTCGCGAATTCGGGAAGCACCAACTTTATGCAAAGGTCAACTACTGCTAGCGAGGTAGATTCAACATCGCCACTGTTATCAGTTTGATTAGATTCGGGCAAGTGCGAGGGGTAGGCAGCAAAGTCTGGCACCTGCACCTGCACCTGCGCACTCCGTAAATGATGCAGCTCGCAATCACCCCAAACTCGGCCACCACTTGACCGCTTGAGCATGTCATGACATACGGGTATAAGGTAAGGAGTACAGAGTACATTAAGGTTTCGATGAAATCTAGACTGCCTCGGTTCGCCAGTTGACGGCAACAGGGATCTCCCGTCTCAACCGCCCGAGCCGCTCCAAGGACGGTGTGCCTCTTGTGCCTCGCGCATGGCCCATTCTGACGTCTGTTCTGACATCTGAACCCTGCTTTCTGTTTCCTAGTCCATTTCCTGATTCTCATTCTCGTTTCCCGATGCCCTTTCCGGTTTCGCCTTTAGCATCTTCTGCCTGGTCCATCGGGCCCGTCTTGGCTCCTCTAGCTCCATTACCGGCCTCCCGATATCTCGACTCTTGTGGCTCAAGCGCCAATTCCCAATTCCACCTCCACGCCTGCTGCCCTGATCTGTTGAGACTGCCAGCTCTCTTGCAGCGTACGAGGTACGGAGTGCAGCTGTCTTCCAAGTCTGTGCTAGTCTCGTCTCTATGCATGCTCGGGTGGTCCACGCCGCCTGGCTTGGGCCACTATTCGCTGGCCATCTCGGCCTTACTCGCATTGTTGCAAGAGGCTTCTTCTTCTGGTGATGCAGGTACAGCCGTCGGCTAGGCTCCATTCCGCCAAGTTGACAGCCATTGTGGGCACTAGCCTCAAGCTGTGGTCAACTGACTCAGCACAGCGATGTTTGAAGCCAACAACTCGTGTGCAGCCGGGATATGACAGAGCTTGATTCGGTAGCTATGATCGGAGCCTCGTCACCGCTTTCAAAAAGCGCCGATACGCCAAGAACGCCCTGTATAATACAAGCAGGCTTTACTTGCCTGCAACTAAAGAAAGCAACCCCCAAGAATACAACACAAAATGGAATGCGCCAAGAAAACCGATCTTCCGCAAACCCGCGTAATCGCGGAACAGGGTAGGAATTGGAAACGACACTAAATGGGTAGAATCAAGCAAATAGGGAAAGTCAGGCAAAAAGTAAATGTAACTGAGGCCATCGAACAGAGAGGCAGGAAAGGAGGGAGGAGGAAGACGGTGAAGACGACTGTCATGTCGCTTACGACAGACGATGTGGAGTGTAATAGTAATATAAGTGCTAACGTGTGATAGTAATACTAACAAGAATAGTGAAAGCCCAAAAGAACTAGGGTATATGAGGGCATGACGCTTTCAGATGTCCATGTTGGTTCTTCTCATCCACCAGATGGCTGGGGGCGGTAATATCGTGACTATCAATTCCGCATGTCTTTATGCTTGACGATGCTTGGAGTCTAGTTTGGTTTTTCTTGTGTCTTCGCCTTCGCATCCTCGGAACCTTGTGTACAACTTGGGAACAGTCCATTGCAGCCTCCGAGGATGTCCGGTATGCTAGAGCTCCACTTTTGCGTGCACGGCTGGCAAGGCTCTGAAGCAGGCTATGGCCATCATTTGTCCAAACAAGCTCGTCGGTCCCATGCCCATATCCCTCATCAAGATCCAGATCCTCAAATCCTAGCTTGTGTTTTGGGTCGACCTCAGGAAGCGGGACGTGGTGTTGTGTGGTGGTAGACTCAGGAATCATAACCATTGAGGGAAATTCAGCTGGTGTTGACGACAGTGGCTTTTCTGGTTCTAGTTGAGGCACATTTGGATCATACTCTGCGAAAGGAGTGAGTATATTGGCTGCTATTTGATTGCATGGCTGTTCTGTTTGAGCTGATATTGTTGATTCCTGCACGATATCCCGGGGACTGTCACAGTCCGTCAAGGCATAGTCGGGTCGTCGCTGGACGTCAGATATCCCTCTATGACGCTGAAGAGGTGCCGTATTGGCAGAGTCGGGTAGTATATCAGCGTAATGGCCCCGAGACCTCAGCGAATGTCTTCTTAGTCTGTGCACAAGAGATTCAATGGGTTGAGCCCGGTTCTGGCGGCGGTAAATACGGTGCCGTTGAGAGCCTGGTAGGGCCCCGGGCTCGATGCTTCGTCTTTCAGATACTGGTGACTGTGAAGAAGACGGCGGAAGTTGGTGTATTGAAACTTCAGGGAATTCAGGGTGCAGCATTCGCGGATCCTCGAGGCGCTCGAACTCGGGTGACAGGCCGGGCCAAGAATTTTGGTCATCCATAATAGAGTCAAGGAGACATGGAATTGAAGTCGACGGTGGTACGTGACGAGGATTGTGCTCGGAACTGTTTCGAGTAGCGACAATCCTGCTCGCGCGTCAGGGCGGACCAAAGGCGGCCATTTGGGAACCCATCAAGAGAAGGCCGTCTGAGATGCAGCAGCGCTGAGAGGCTGATAAGGAATACAGACGGTGTTGGCAGCGAGAAATGCGAAAGCAACAGCGATAGCGACGTTGATGGCGGCGACAGTGAAAGGCGCTGCTATTGAAATTGAGGATGAAAAAAGCCACGGTCGCATGCAGGTTCAATGTTGGATTCTTCAGCGAAAGCAGCTCGAGGCAGGGCAGGGAGAAGAGGCGCCATAACGATGAGCTGACATCAGGTGGGCGACCTCGCAGTACATGTAGTAATATGAAGGCGGTTGTGCAGTTATGCATCGCACAGTGAAGCCACGGGCACACTAAATAAAAACGTTGGTGGCTCCGCGTCAGACTGCCAAGCTGCCCATCCGTACGTACCAAGAAGTG